CCAACTGAGCTATCCGGGAAGCCATATGTTGCTCCATGCTTTGCCCTTAACAAAGGCTTCTTGGTGCCTCCCCAAATTCATTAATAACAAAACCGGATATTTAGCTGGGCACATTATCACCAAACTAAATACCTGCCCCAACTTCGCTTGAACATTGGTTGGTGTGCTTCTGTGACTACTTACCAAGAAGCAGCAAAAGGGTCGTTGATGTGTCTTACTTCTGAGCATTCACCTTAAAGTGGGGAGAAGGGAAGAGGTCTTTCCCTTCTTCCAGGAGGCTACCCAGAAACGTATCATGATAAAACAGTAGCATTTCACGTTGAAGCCTGACAGTAAGTAGAGCAATGAGGTGGAAGAAGCCTGAGTTTCTGTTAACTTCATGTTAGCCTTTGAGTGCCTACTTCTGGACTTCTATTATGTGAAAGAGAAATAAACTTTTACTTTGTTTCAGTCCCCATTATTTGAGCTGTTTATGCTTTAAGCAACTACACCAAATCCTAATTCATGTTTGTTTCAGGTTTTTACCACAACAAAATATATATAAAGAGAAATAAACTTTTACTTTGTTTCAGCTCCCTTTATTTGAGTTGTCTATGCTTTAACCAAATACACCTAATCCTAATTAATGTTTGCTTCTATTTTTTGCCGCAAAAATGTGTATATGCCTACCTGCCTATGAAAGAGCTACAACAATCATTCTTGAACATACAGCCTCACATTCTGATGTTCTTATTTTAATAAAATACAGTCTCAAGAGTAGAATTTCTGAATTGAGTAGTCTGAAAATTTTTTATGTGAAGAGATTTTATCAAATAGCTTCGCAAAGGCTGCTTTTAAAAATCATATATGTAGTACCCTCTGTCATTGTCAGTCTGCTATGATAGAGTGGATATTTCACTTTTACTTTCATTTCCTTTTCCATGACTATTAATAAGGATGATTATCTTTTCTTATGTTTATTAGCCATTTTAGATTTGCTCTTTATATTTATTCAGTCTTTGCCAATTTATTGCTTGAATGTTGAACGTCTTCTCATAAACTTATACTTTTCTCAGTATTTATGTTAGTTAACATTACTTGTATTTTGCACTTTAGATATTCCTCCAACCTAAAATTGATTTATGTCATCTACTGCCATACAAAATTTTTATTTTTTAACATGTGTATATTTTATAATTTCTGAATTCATACTTTGGTTTTAAAAAAAATCTTCAAAACCTCAGTCTTTAATACATTTGGAATTTATTTATACTTATTATATGAGGTAGAGTTCCAAGATTATTTTTTGTAGATGAGTAGCCAGCCTGCTCATTATTTTCTCCAGTGATATAAAATAATAGCTCATATATTTCCATATAAACTGAGATCTATTTCTTACCTTTCTATTCTGCTTCATTATTCAACTGTTTGCTGATTTTATTATCTTAATATTATGCTGACAGAGAAGGTGCAGTTCAGCCCCTTGGGTAACACAGGAGTTCACAGGTTTGTTCAGGGCACAGCTAGTCTGCAGTCACCAGACAAGCTGAAAGCCTTTCTCCAGACCCCAGGTGAGGGCAGGCAGAGAGAGTGAGACTCAGCAGAAAGCCCTGGACAGGAGATGAACTTAGCACCGGCCATGTGAGCATCCGAAGAGAGGATGGGGCACTGGGAGGGGCAGAAGCCTTCAGAGTGCTGGTTTCCCTGGGAAGGTGACTGCCAGGCTGAAGCTGCAAGGTTGCCGCGTGTCCATGAGCTCTGGGCACGTGGCTGGGGCAGCACCCACAGGCTGCCTTCTCACCCACTCCACTGACCTGACCCGCAGCAGCTGGAAGCTACAGGAGAGCTCCTCCCTCCAACACTGCCTCTCCAGGGTCCTCTACTGAAAACGTGTTTAACATGGTGCTCACTCTAAAGAAGAAATGATTAGAGGAATTTCACCGATTGTCAGAGTCTAAAATGAAGCATGACTTAAGGGTCAATAAATTGACTTTCAGCACAGCCCTCAAAAAGAAACACAATATCCATAAAGAGAATAAACATTCTGAAATGAATTCGAAGGATTTTCTGAGATGTCTTGAAGTGAGTATTTAAAGGGCGGAGGCACAATTTCCTGGAGAAATAAACATTTACTTCCAAAACAAACCAAAGTGCTTAAAAATGAACCAGAGCAGGACTTCCAGGGTGGTCCAGAGGTTAACAATCTGCCTGTGAATGCAAGGGTCAGAGGTTCATTCCAGAAGATTCCACATGCCATGAGCAACTAAGCTATTGTCAGAGTCTAAAATGAAGCATGACTTAAGGGTCAATAAATTGACTTTCAGCACAGCCCTCAAAAAGAAACACAATATCCATAAAGAGAATAAACATTCTGAAATGAATTGGAAGGATTTTCTGAGATGTCTTGAAGTGAGTATTTAAAGGGCGGAGGCACAATTTCCTGGAGAAATAAACATTTACTTCCAAAACAAACCAAGGTTGCTTAAAAATGAACCAGAGCAGGACTTCCAGGGTGGTCCAGAGGTTAACAATCTGCCTGTGAATGCAAGGGTCAGAGGTTCATTCCAGAAGATTCCACATGCCATGAGCAACTAAGCTGGTGCCCCAAACTACTAGCCCGAGCACCTAGAGCCTGTGGTCCCCAAGAAGAGAAGTCAGCGCAACGAGGAACCACCGCACCACATTGAAGAGGAGCTCCTGCTCCGCACAGCTGGAGAGAGCCTGCACACAGCAGAGAAGACCCAGTGCGGCCAAAAAGCAAACTTAATTAATTAATTTATTTATTTACTTAAACAATGAACCAGAGTTATGGTAAATTCATGCTGAGGCATTCCGGAAAAGACTTCAGAAAGGACATTAACACACATGCCTGAAAACTGTAGAAGACCAATGGGATTGTTCAGAAGCTAGACACTGCTCAAGGAAGCTAAGCAGAAGAGCATCCCCTGAGGTCAGCATGGTACCAAAAGTTGTTCACAGGCGCTACATTTTTACAAGCATTGTGGACTGCCACACATTTTTACACATTGCTTCCCAAGGCATTTCTAAGATTATCTATCTTTGTCCACTTGGCTACTATTACAAAATACCATAGACTGGATGGCTTAAAAACAATAGAAAAATTTTTCTCACAATTCTGGAGGCTGTGAACTACCAGATCGACTGAGTCCACTTCCTGGTTCTTAGACAGCATATTCTTGTTGTGTCTTGCTTCTCACGTGGTGGAGGAGACAAACGCCTTCTTAATTATTTATACTGGAGTATAGCTGATTTACAATGTTGTGCTAATTTCAGGGGTGCAGCAAAGTGATGTAGTTATGCATATACATATTATTCTTTTTGAGATCTTTTCCCATATAGATTATAACAGTGTACTGAGTAGAGTTCCCTGTTCTATATATAGACAAGGACCCTTTTTATAAGCACACTAATCCCATTCATGAGAGCTCAGACCTCATGGTTTAATCTCCTCCAAAAGAATTCACCATCTAAAACCATCACCGTGGGCATTTGGTTTTCAACAGAGGACAGACACAGATATTCAATCGGCAGCGTGATCACAACAGACCTTAGTGTCTCCCTTTGGCACAGGAATGAAGTGAGGCAGCGGAGAGCCTTGTCTCCTGATCAGTGCCCTTGTGGGTTCACCTCAGTGGATCTCTACTTCCTCTTTCCATTTCCCCTTCCTCTAGGAGGCGTTCCCTAACTAACCTCAAGCCAACATTTCATTTAGCATTCTGAGGAATCTGTTGCATAGCAATGTACAGTACTTACAAACAGGGATTCTCTAACTGAACATCAAAAATACATGTGTGTGTGTGCCAAGACTTTCAGTCACGTATGACTGTTTCAGACCCCATGGACTATAGCCCTCCACGATCTGTTGTCCAATGAATTTTCTAGGCAAGAATACTGGAGTGAGCTGCCATCCCCTTCTCCAGGGGATCTTCCTGACCCAGGGATCAAACCCAGGTCTCCTGCATTGTAGGAAGACTCCTTACCATCTGAACTACCAGAGAAGGTTCTGCAATTCTCAATGTATCATTCAGGACAAACTTTTGAAATCACAAACACAAACTGGGAGGCCTAGGGTCATCCAGCAGAGGTGTATTTGGACTATCCCACATCCCAAAAAAAAGCTGATTGAAAACTCAACATTCAAAAAACTAAGATCATGGCATCCAGTCCCATTACTTCATCACAAATAGATCAGGAAACAATGGAAACAGTGACAGACTTTATTTTCTTGGGCTCCAAAATTGTGGTGGTTTTGCACTGAATAATACTCACAAACACACAGTATTATGACAGACAGCACAGGGAGAGCGTTCAGACAAGCAACTCCCCAAGAACATGCTCAGCATATATTTTATTGGTAACTTATCTTGTAATCTTTAAGTATGAGCAGGAAAGCAAGACAGAGACTAGAATTCAGGGATCAAGGAGGCTTCCTCCAGGGGGTCTGGAGGTAATCATATAAGAGTCGTAGGAAAGGTCTTTGAAGATAAGGGGGTTTGTTCTGTGTACAGAACAGCACCTAGCTAATGCTGACGTGTTAGTCAGAACATTTAAATTAAGGGTGGGGGAGAGCAAGCAAGGAAGAGAGAATGAATATTAAATTCCAGGAGATACTTTTAAGAAATCAGTAAAACATGGTTCCCACACAAAATCACTGCAGATGGTGACTGCAGCCATGAAATCAAGATGCTTGCTCTTTGGAAGGAAAGCTATGACAAACCTAGAGAGCATATTATAAAGTAAAGGCATTACTTGACCAGCAGAGGTCCGTCTAGTCAAAACTATGGTTTTTCCAGTAGTCAGGTATGGATGTGAGAGTTGGACCATAAAGAAGGGTAAGTGCCAAAGAATTGATATTTTTGAACGGTAGTGGTGGAGAAGACTCTTGAGAGTCCCGTGGACTGCAAAGACATCAAACCAGTCAATCCTAAAGGAAATCAAACCAAAATATTCATTGGAAGAACTGATGCTGAAGCTGAAGCTCCAATATTTTGGCTGACTCATTAGAAAAAAAACCCTGATGGGAGGAAAGATCGAAGGCAGGAGAAGGGGACGACAGAGCAGGAGATGGTTGGATGGCATCACTGACTCAATGGACATGAGTTTGAGTAAGCTCCAGAAGATGGAGAAGGACAGGAAAGCCTGGTATGCTGAGCAACTGAACTGAACTGATGGGGTCACAAAGAGTCAGACACGACTGAGCAACTGAACAACACCCAAAATATTGTAAAGGTTTCTGTCAACACGTTATATAGGCTTGTTCACATGTAATGGTAGACTTCCATTTTCCTTGAAAAAATCTGGCTTACAGCCAAGCTAGGGTCTTACTTTATACTTCACAAGGAACAGTTGGACTTGCTTCCTTGGAACACAAAAAGCATCTTCCAGTTGACAGCATATTCCAGCATTCAAATAATGACGACACACAGTTACACTGCAGCCTTTATCTGCTTGTCCCTGAGAGTTATCTGAGTGTGCACTTCTGTTTTTTACATAACTACTTGGACATATACACTTGTAGTATACTAAAAGAAAAACAAACAAACTTAAATCCTCTTAGATAAAATGTTCAAAGTGTGTGACAAGAGCTGCCTGTACTGGGCTTCTTCAAGGTAGCTCTCTTTCCCCTTCAAATTCTGAGGGCTACAGCCCTGAGATCCTGAAGTCCAGACAGACAGTTGTGGTGAGGAGAGTCACGAGATATCTTGATAGTGGCTGTGAGAGAAAGCAGAGACCATTGAGGAAAAGGGAAGAGGAGAAAATGTGGGCAGAGGGGTTGAGGGAGGGAGGAGATGGAAAGGAGAGACTTACCGGTGCTTCCTAAACCAGAAGACTAAGCCTCCAACAACCAGAAGGATGAACACCAGTATTACAGGGACAAAAATCAAGCCCCTGGAGACACGGTTCCCATCTGTGTGGGGGAACACAGGGTGTGTCACAGTCTGGGAATCTGTATCAGGTTCCCTACTGTTAGCACGTGTGAGCATGCCAGATGTTAATTTCTTGTCCTGTCTAATGTGCCTACTTGTATTCCTCTGAAGATTAGAGATGCCTCATCTTTTCTTGGAGTCTGGGCATCTATAATTTCGTTCACTTCAGCATATGCTGGTACACACACGGAGGCAGGCACTAGTTTCACAGCTAATCCAAACCTAAGTCTAAATCCAGCTCTTCCGCTTTCTAATGATGAGACTCAGGGCAGTTTGACCTAGCTTAGCCTCAATTTCTCACCTGTAACATGAAAACAACAGTACCTGCTCAAAGGAGAGTGGGGATGATTGTTCATACATACTCTGCTGTATGCAGAGTGTTCAGCTCACACCGAGAAAGCACTCAATAAACCACAACTGTCGTTGGTACCCTACCTTTCAAAGTCCCCAGTTGCCTCTTCTAGGGAACAAATCTTCCTGGGATTCTGTACTTGCCACCTACCTGGGGATCTGTGGGGATTTTAGTCTCTTCTTTCTTGTATGTGGAACACCTTGTCTCAATCCTTTTCGAGTTCAGATCTATATTCCTCCCCTTGGAGAATTCCCTCCTTCCATCACTCCTGGCTGGGGCATCATTTTCCTCCCCTTCCCCAGGCCCTCCCTCTGGGCTTGAGGACCACCTCCTCCCACCCCCAGCTGGGCTCCACTTCCTCCTCACCCCAGTACAGGATGATGTCCTGGTCTCCCAGGCTGCTGTGCTTCACTCNGAAACGGCGACAGACTTTATTTTCTTGGGCTCCAAAATTGTGGTGGTATCACACTGAATAATACAAACACACAGTATTATGACAGACAGCACAGGGAGAGCGTTCAGACAAGCAACTCCCCAAGAACGTGCTCAGCATATATTTTATTGGTAACTTATCTTGTAATCTTTAACTATGAGCAGGAAAGCAAGACAGAGACTAGAATTCAGAGATCAAGGAGGCTTCCTCCCGGAGGTCTGGAGGTAACCATGTAAGAGTCATAGGAAAAGTCTTTGAAGATAAGCGGGTTTGTTCTGTGTACAGAACAGCATCTAGCTAATGCTGACATGTCAGTCAGAATGTTTAAATTAAGGGTGGGGGAGAGCAAGCAAGGAAGAGAGAATGAGTATTAAATTCCAGGAGGTATTTCTGAGAAATCAGTAAAACATGGTTCCCACACAAAATCACTGCAGATGGTGACTGCAGCCATGAAATCAAGCTGCTTGCTCTTTGGAAGGAAAGCTATGACAAACCTAGACAGCGTATTAAAAAGTAAAGACGATACTTGGCCAACAGAGGTTCGTCTAGTTAAAGCTATGATTTCTCCAATAGTCATGTATGGATGTGAGAGTTGGACCATAAAGAAGGGTAAGTGCCAAAGAATTGATGTTTTTGAACGGTGGTGGTGGAGAAGACTCTTGAGAGTCCCTTTCACTGCAAAGAGATCAAACCAGTCATTCCTAAAGGAAATCAAACCAAAATATTCATTGGAAGAACTGATGCTGAAGCTGAGGCTCCAGTATTTGGCTGACTCATTAGAAAAAACCCTGATGCAAGGAAACATTGAAGGCAGGAGAAGGGGACGACAGAGCAGGAGATGGTTGGATGGCATCACTGACTCAATGGACATGAGTTTGAGTAAGCTCCAGAAGATGGAGAAGGATAGAGAAGACTGGTATGCTGAGCAACTGAACTGAACTGATGGGGTCACAAAGAGTCAGACATGACTGAGCAACTGAACAACACCTCAAATATTGTAAAGGTTTCTCTCTCTGCTTCTTCAAGGTAGCTCTCTTTCCCCTTCAAATTCTGAGGGCTAAAGCCCTGAGATCCTGAAGTCCAGACAGATAGGTGTGGGGAGGACAGTCACGAGATATCTTGATAGTGGCTGTGAGAGAAAGCAGAGACCATTAAGGATAAGGGAAGAGGAGAAGATGTGGGCAGAGGGGCTGAGGTTGGGAGGAGATGGAAAGGAGAGACTTACCGGTGCTTCCTAAACCAGAAGACTAAGCCTCCAACAACCAGAAGGATGAACACCACCAGTATTACCAGGACGACAATCAAGCCCGTGGAGAAACGGTTCCCATCTGTGTGGGGGAACACAGGGTGTGTCACAGTCTGGGAATCTGCATCAGGTCCCCTACTGTAATCACATGTGAGCATGCCAGATGCTTATTTCTTGTCCTACCTAATGTGCCCACTTGTATTCCTGTGAAGTTAATAGACACCCCATCTTTTCTTAAGGTCTGGGTATCTATAATTCCATTCACTTCAGCATATGCTGGTACATATATGGAGGCAGGCACTAGTTTCACAGCTAATCCAAACCTAAGTCTAAATCCAGCTCTTCCACTTTCTAATGATGAGACTCATGGCAGTTTGACCTAGCTTAGCCTCAATTCTCATCTGTAACATGAAAACAACAGTACCTGCTCAAAGGAGAGTGGGGAATATTGTTCATACATACTCTGCTGTATGCAGTGTTCAGCTCACACAGAGAAAGCACTCAATAAACCACAACTGTCGTTGGTACCCTACCTTTCAAAGTCCCCAGTTGCCTCTTCTAGCTAACAAACCTTCCTGGGATTCTGTACTTGCCACCTACTTCAGGATCTGTGGGGATTTTAGTCTCTTCTTTCTTGTATGTGGAACACCTTGTCTCAATCCTTTTCGAGTTCAGATCTATATTCCTCCCCTTGGAGAATTCCCTCCTTCCATCACTCCTGGCTGGGGCATCATTTTCCTCCCCTTCCCCAGGCCCTCCCTCTGGGCTTGAGGACCACCTCCTCCCACCCCCAGCTGGGCTCCACTTCCTCCTCACCCCAGTACAGGATGATGTCCTGGTCTCCCAGGCTGCTGTGCTTCACTCGGCAGCTCAGGCCAGCCGCCTCCGCAGCCTCCACATCCAGGGTTACTCGCAGATACCAAGTCGAGTCGGCGTTGGGCATGACGTCTCCTTGCTGAGTGCCAGGCTCCTCCTGCTCGCCCCTCACCCACGTCACCCGCACGGGTTTTGGGTAGAATCCTGAGACGTGGCAGACCAGCCGCAGGTGGCCAGGCCGGGGAGGGGGACCACTGGACAGCCAGGCCTCCGGCTTCACTGTATTCAACACGAGAATGAGGGATCTTAAAGTGAGACTCTGCATCAGAGGCTCTGGACTTCACAGCAGGCTCATCAGTCCTACATTTCTACGTCTGGAGTTGAACTCCCACCATTTCTTCCCACTTGTATTAGCTTCTCCGGGAAAGACTTCCCGGATCCCCATTCCCTGCCCTGATCCATTCTCCTGTAAATGCCCCTACTCTGCACTCGCAGAGCACCGTGTTCAGCTGTAACATACGTAGTAAGTTTCTAAGTGGTAGTTACTCAGTCATGCCCGACTCTGCAACCCCATGGACTGCAGCCCACCAGGCTCCTCTGTCTACGGGATTTTCCAGGCAAGAGTACTGAAGGGGGTTGCCATTTGCTCCTGCAGGGCATCTTCAAACCCGGGTCTCCTGCATTGCGGGCAGACTCTGTACCATCTGAGCCACCAGGACACTGCTTTAACTGTTCATCTGCCTTCTCCTCCCTCCTCAAGCACACATCCTGATTGATCTGCAGGATTTATTTAATTCAATTCATGGACCATAAAAGGTACCTAATTAATGTCTAAGGAATGTTTAAATACCCTCACACCTTATCCATCTCCTCCTCTTCCCGTGATGCTTAAAGGGGTGTAAACCTTGGAATGAAAACCCCAGATGGAGCCCCAGAGTGGAGTGGAGGGCAAGAGGTGACAAAAGCAGATCGACCTTGCTTCTCCAGCTCAGACTTCCCCATCTGCAAGAGGCCTCTGACCAATTCTGGGCAGACATCATGCAGGAGCCAGTGCACTGTTTCCTTGGTCCCTTGGTCCTGATTGAGCTTCTTGCAGAGCTCCTGGCTCCGAGGGGGGGCATCTGGGGCTGGCACCCAAGACATTCCTTGGAAACTCAGGACATCCTTTCCTTGAAATGCTGCACGTAAGAAGCTTTCGGAGGTGTTCCTCGGAAGTAAGTCACATCCTCCAGATATCTGGATCTCAAGAGGATCTGAGGAGAGGAATAGAAAGAGATCAATGTAGAGCTTAAAAGACTGAAAGGAGTTGAAGAAATTGGTGTGAGGGTTATCCTGGGGACCCCAAAGTTCATGTAAATAGGAATGGGTGACCTGCAACGGGATGAACAAGGGGTATTTTGACGACTCAAGCTGGAAACTCTCAGGCAGAAGTGGGACTCAAAAGGGAGAGAGGAGACAATCACAAGGGGCCAGAACCTCCCGGTTGGGCTTCAGCATCCACTGTCTCCCCCTGGGCAGCTGTCCACGATCCCATCCCTCAGCTCACAGTCGAGGTGCAGCATTTTGACGAATTCCCAGATGTCCCTGGTGAAGCTCCTGCGATAAACCTGAAGCGTATGCTGCAGCTGCTCCCACTGCTGCTCGCTGAATGTGCCCTGAGACCAAGGCTTCAGGAAGCCGACGGTGTCCGACTCATTGCGCCAAGTATAGAGCTGCAGCTCCCCCAGCCACGCGAGGAAGTCCGTGCGCGTCCAGCTGCGGTTGGCGAAGGAGGAGATCTGGAGGCCGCGGAAGGAGTAAGACGTTTGCGGCTCTGGAGAGAATACAGATCGGAGGAACCGGGGGCACGGGAGGGAGAGCACAGAAGGGAGAAGGAAGAGCAACGGAAACAAACAAACAGCTAGGTGTGGGAAGAAAGGGTGATGTCTGCTGGCTCTCAATCGAGCTCGGTCTCCGGGAGCCAAGCAGCTGGAGGCAGGGAGTAGCCGGTTCTCGGGCTGGTGGATCAAGCTCCCGGCTTTCCGAGGTGTATCAGTCTGCGCCCGCCCGCCAGGAGCATCGGCCGCTTTCCCTGCTCGCCTCCCTCTCGCCGCCCTCTGCATGGGAGCCCCGGTTCCACTCATCCTCAAAACTCCCCCAAATCTGGGGAAGACCCCAGAAGAACAGAAACAGCAAGCACCCCGCGTCCTAGCTCTGCTCTGGGACCTCGAATCTCCGCCCCCACCCCCTCCCCGTCCTTCCCCAACGCCCGCCCACGCACCCCGGGTTTCCGGGTTTCCGGGGCTGCCAAAAGCCTGAACTTGACCCTGTTGCTGGCCAATTCTTAAGCCTGGAGGCAGGCAGGACTCCAGTTCTGACTCTCCGGGGGCTTGCTTCCAACTTCCTCCTGTCCAGGGAATCCCTTTTTCATCTGCCAGATGGTCCCTCTAATTAGGTATCTGGGCTGCAAAGAGCCCTGGTCACAGCCACTCACTTAAGTATCATGTTTCTCACAACCGACTTTTTCCAAGGTAGAGTTACAGATAGTATGTGGAAAACACTTTACAACTGCTATTTAAGTTTTAAAAACAGGACATAAAGTTGTATATATGGTATGACGTCTACCATGTGTTTAAAACAAAGTTTTTGAGTGGGAGGCAAGCAATGGATGTCTCTAGGCAAAGAGATTATGGAAGATTTTAATTTGTTTTACATTTTTGGTTTTCCAAAATGTCTAGGAGTGCAGACATCACGTTAATGATAAAATAATAAGGGACTTCTCTGGTGGTCCAGTGGTTAAGAATCCACCTTGCAATGCAGGGGTGTTGGTTGGATGCCCGGTCAGGGTCATCTCAGGGATCTCAGCCTGCAACAGCTCCCAAAAGGGCTGGGGTTCCCAGCCAGAGGTTGAAGTTAGGTTGCAGCGGTGAGAACACCAGAGCCTATCCAGTAGACCAGTGGTCAGGGACAAGGGCCCTGGCCTTCAGCTTTGCAGAAAGCAATTCCCACAAAAAAAGAAAGTAGTGGAGCAAGTAAGGTATTTATTAGGGGAAAACAGGACAGTACAAGAGGGAGAGGATGACTCAAAGAGTGGGAATCTCTGAGTCACACCCTCCTGGCAGTTTGAATTACTCTGATAATAAAGGGCATTTCTTCCAGTTTTCCTTCGGCCGATCAATTTAATTTGCCTCTTTCACAGTTCATATTTGGTATATTTCAAGATCCTCCCATGTGTGCGCATGCACCTCTTAGCCAAGATGGATTTTACTGAAAAGGCATCTGGGTAGAACATTCCTTGACATAACTCTCCTTTGGCCTCCAAGGAGCCTTTTCTGCACGTGTATGGTCTGGAAGGTCTCCTGACTTTGAGAAATACATGCTCTGGGCAGGGCCCAGCATCCTCTCTTAATTGACCTCCTGTTAGGGAAATTAAATAAATTATCTTAGTTAGGTGGTATATTGTCACCCGGGTTATTTACCTTATGTGCAGAGTACATCATGAGAAATGCTGGAATGGATGGAGCACAAGCTGGAATCAAGATTTCCAAGAGAAATATCAATAACCTCAGATATGCAGATGACACCATACTTCTGCCAGAAAGTGAAGAACTGAAGAACCTCTTGATGCAAGTGAAAGAGGAGAGTGAAAAGTTGGCTTCAACATTCAGAAAACTAAGATCATGGTATCTAGTCCCATCACTTCATGGCAAATAGATGGGGAAACAATGGAAACAGTGACAGACTTTATTTTGGGGGCTCCAAAATCAGCAGATGGTGACTGCAGTCATGAAATTAATTTTTCCTTGGAAGAAAAGCTATGACCAACCTAGACAGCATATTAAAAAGCAGAGACATTACTTTGCCAACAAAGGTCCATCTAGTCAAAGCTATGGTTTTTCCAGTAGTCATGTATAGATGTGAGAGTCGGACTATAAAGAAAGCTGAGGGCCGAAGAATTGATGATTTTGCACTGTGGTATTGGAGAAGTCTTGAGAGTCCCTTGAACTGCAAGGAGATCCAACCAGTCCATCCTAAAGGAAATCAGTCCTGAATATTCATTAGAAGGACTGATGCTGAAGGTGAAACTACCACACTTTGGCCATCTGATGCGAAGAACTGACTCATTTGAAAAGACCCTGATGCTGGGAAAGATTGAAGGTGGGAGGAGAAGGGGACAACAGAGGATGAGATGGTTGGATGACATCATTGACTCGATGGACATGAGTTTGAGTAAACTCCAGGAGCTGATGTTGGACAGGGAGGCCTGGCGTGCTGCAGTCCATGCAGTTGCAAAGAGTTGGACACAACTGAGCAACTGAACTGAACTGAGTCAGGCTCAAAGACAAAGCAGAGCAGGCCTCTGACCTTGCTTCTAACCTGCCTGGACACTGCCCTAACTAAGGGTGTCTGGAAGTGCCTGGAAGTGCCTGCGGTGAGTGCAAGTCTTGCAGCAGGGTAGATAAGATGGGGGAGTAATCTTGAGATTGTTGAGCCCCTGGAGGGGGCCTGGCCAATCAAGCCCCAGGCTTAACAACAATTCCAAGTTTTACATGACAGAACAAACAGCATTAACATGAAACCAGAGCTGCAGTTTGCTTACAGATTGTTGATGATATCAGTTTGTGTCCTGGGATTATAAGCAGGAACCCTGAACTGCAATCTTTGAAGTCTCACCCATGGAGGGAACTCTTTGCCTGGGACCTTCTCCCAATTGGGACTCCAGATGTGCTGTGTCATGGGACTTCCCAGTGCTGTTTGAGTCTGGATGATAGTCAAAACCCAGTTTGGTGATGTATCCTCTGCTGTGTCTAGTTCTCTTTTCTCTTAATTTTAGTATATTGAAAGTAAGCTAGATAATTCTCTGATAAATATTTGTATTACTTATTTGTATATAAAGAGTGGCTGATTTTGCTAACAAATTCTTTGAACCTGAGATGAAAGTGAAAACTTTCGGCAAAACACCTGCTATTCTTGTCTTGGAGCTTCAATTCACAAGGAATGAATCTCCAATCACTTTACCCTGGAAGGCAGGGGGAGGTCATCTACCCCCTACCACAGGGGGACAAACCCTCATGCCACAACTGCTGAATGAATCACACAAGCTCTGGAGCCCACAAGAGGCAACTAGAGAATCCTTGCACTGCAATGAAAGATCCCACACCACAACAAAGACCCAGTGTGCTGCAAGTAGGATCTGATGCACAGGGCCAAATAAATAAATAAAATATTAACATAAGCCCAGATTTTCTCAGCTCTATATTGACAAGATTGGACTAGGTTGGCTAAGAATTTTCAAGCTTTAATATCCCAAGATCTTTCCATCTCACTGTCCCCATCCCCAACCTCTCTTTCCTCCTGTCATGGTCCCTGAATCCACTCCTCCAATCTCTGTCTTCCCTGCCTCCTTCTGGGAGACTCTCTTCCCCCCATTCCATCTCCCACCTGGTCTCTGCCTGCTTATTTTCTCCTCTGCAAATATAAGCTTCTGTTTTAAAGAACAGAGACAAGATTATGATGTGTTCCTGAGCAGCTAGCTCTCCAGTTATCATGCTGAAAATAAGAGCAAGGAGACTTAGCAGTTCAGAACTTCAGATCACAGTGAAAAAGAAAGTCCCCTCTTTGGTGAGTCAGAACCAGGACAGCACCTGGCACCTCCTGCCCCCTTCTTTTATCCAGTCCATCACAACTCTCCTCTCTTTTACCTCTTTTGAAATATCCCTTGCATGTACCCATTTTACATTTCTACCTCCACCACCATCCATTCTTTTGCCTCATCTTCTGAAATAGCTTTCTCGGGATACAAGATTGTATGCAGTCTGACCTTGGTCTGCCTTTCAGCGTCCTCTCTCACTGTCCTCTGGCTAATTTTGACCTTAACCCAGCTGACATGCTTTCAGTTCCTCTAATACACAAAGCCTCTTCCTGCCCAAGGTCTTTGCACCAATAGTTCTCTCTGCTTGGAAAGCTTTTGGCCCCCTCCTCCCCACACCCCCTTGCAATGCCTAGTTCTTTCCTTCCTGCTCAAATCTCAGCTGGAAGGTTCTCTTCTCAGGGGAGTTCTCCAGGCTTCCCAGGCTGTGAACAAAGGCAGAGGAACCAGGGTGGCCCTGCCCCCACTCCTCGTGCACCAGCTAGCTTTGCAAACCGTTCCTCCCAGTACAGACCAGAGCTTGTAATTATAGAAGTGTTCACATGTTTGTCTCTTGATGTCTTTTCGGTAATCCACTAGAGAGTGGCCAGAATTCAAAGACCATGTTTTCTTCCCATTCTGCCAACCTTAACATTTCCATCTTCCCTCACTCTGCCATAGTAAGAACCCTAGAGAGAATAGACTTCTGCTCCTGCTTCTGCTGGCATCTTGGAGATAGCCTTTCCCAGCCTATCTTATGATGCTTAATGTTGCCCCAAAACTGTTTGCAATAAAGTGGAAAAATTATTTCTGTTATTTGAAGTAAGAGGCCAAGTGATTAAATCAGAATACAAAATTGTCCAAATAGTGGATAGAAGCCTGGAGGGGAGGGAAACTATGAAGCTGGAAGTAAAAGGAAAAATGGTTATATATGAATCATGGAACAATATCCAACTTTGCATTCTTGAAATTTCCAACCTCCCTTTTAGAATTTGTGCAGTTCTATTTAGTTTATCTGTATCTTAAAATTTGCAAGTGCTATCATCCTTTCAGACATAAATACAAGAACTGTTTTTTATCAACAACAACAACAAAAGCAGACAGCATGGCATTCAGTAGTTAGGATTGGAAATAAATATATTTTTCCAAAAGTCAGTTGAGTCAGATAGTTTTTAGCTATTCCAGATTTCACTGCTTTCCTCTGGGAAGAGATTCATGGAATCATGGAAGAACCTTTTGAGGGCAAGACTTACCCTCACATACTAGAGGTCAGAAAACCAGAGCATAGCGAGGTGGTGATTTACTCGGGTCCTCAAAATCAGCCCATGGTAGGGAGAAGTCAGCCATAGTACCTTTCATGTTGCCCAGGAACTGGTTACAATCCATGCACCTAGATTAGTCATGTCTCTGATTTCTAGAGTGTTTCTGGCTCCCTAAGAACTTTCATGTATACCATTTTGTTTAATCCCAGTAACAACTGTGAGAAACAGGGATCACTATTCTTATTTTGTCAATGAAGAAAGCAAGTCAAAGAGAGAATGATGCAACACACAATAATGATTCAGAGTCTGCCCTAGAACTCAATCTTCTAACTCCTGGTTC